GACCAGACAGCAGCTGTCATATTTCTGATGGACCGGTGGGGTGGGGGCGGATTGTACACCATCCTCTACTAATGTCACATTGAGATATATGAAGTACAGTAAAAGCATAATGCAACCCAAACAACTGTAGAAAACTCTCAAAAAATCTAAACTTAACTCGCCATCAGTGTGAGCCAGTTTTCTGGAGACAAGGTGGTCGAAGCATGGCGTTTTGTCTGCGAGTGAAAGGCGCTGCGGGTTTCTAACATCCACTCTGCTGCGGAGCCTTGGTTTGTTAGCAGTCAGAGCTAAATGAGATATGTCTCCATATCTCACTGTCTATGAGCCTTTTTTCAGGAGCCCAAGTAAAAAAACGTGTTGATGTGATCTGTTTCTTCATGTTCTCTCCTCACTAGCATGCGCAGCTTTGACCCACACGTGACCTTATCAGTAAAATGTTTGTATCTTCATATTTAAACGTTTACTGAATCAAATTCAGAAAAAAAAAAGTCAAAGGAGTTCCTTTATGGCAATTACATCCACCCTCTTGCTTCCCACTGGGTGTGACCGGCCCGGTGTGAAACAACCCAAGGCCCGGTAACGGCCCGAGGCATGATGGTTGGGGACCCCTGATGTAGAGTAATCCTGAGCTTCTGTCATGTCTTCTTCTCAAATCAACCAAGATGTAAAACGAACCCAAAGTTTTCCAATGTTTTTCAGTCAGAATATCAAGTTCAAGTGTTTGCTTTAAGGTGAAGATTGACAATATTTTTGGATATACTCTGTCTCAGACTTGTTGTTTGCTTACTTCTGCACAAACACTGTATGCTACAGACCCAATGCAAAATATTTGAATCTTTGTATATTTTAAATAAAACTGAATTAATGTGTTGAGGTTTATTTTCTTTGTTTGCCTTTTTAATATCATTAGTTGGTTCATATCAGACCTTACACAACCTGCAGTTATATCCCCATAACAGCACACACACACACACACACACACACACACACACACACACGCACACACACACACACACACACACACACACACACACACACACACACACACACACACACACACACACACACACACACACACACACACACACACACACACACACACACACACACACACACACACACACAACACACACACACACACACACACACAACACACACACACACACACACACACACACACATGCAGATACACAAAAACACACACACACACACACACACACACACACACACACACACACACACACACACACACACACACACACACACACACCTGATACAACAACATGAGCTCTTAATACAGCTCATAAATACAGATATCATTTTTTTTCTGTTTTTATTCTTGAAATTTAACAGGATGTATATAAACCAATCATCTAAGAGTAAAACAGCGCTCCACAGTGTTTTTTGTTTAAGCAGGAAGAAGGACCAAGATGCACTTGACGCGCCGACATTTATAAATATTTAATTGCTGCCACCTTGTGACCAAAATCAGCATTACAAGTGTGAACCTGACAGCCCATTTCCACTGGACCTCAGAGGCCTGTACGATGAAGGTTTGTCTAACTGTCTTTGTAGTACAGTGATGTCCTAAACAGAATCATGTCTGTTTTTAACACAGCTCCGTCTGAGGACCTAAAGATCACGGCAACCAGACATTGGATTTTGGCCTCTTTAAGATGCACAGAGCTTTTTAAAAGGCCCAATACTTACATTGTATACATTTTCTCCCTGTCACAGATTTCTCTTTAAATAAGAGATGTTTTTAGGTGGCTGTTAAAAGAAGTTTATTTTGTGTCACTGTGCAGCAGCACGTGTAAAGGTCATGGGTCCAACAGCCAGACAGAAGAAGTATTCAAACAATTACAACTTAGCAAAAATAAAATGTGTCTATCCTTTCTAAATCTTTGAAGATTGCTCAGTGATGAACACCAGATGGTTGTTTTCTTTCAGGCTTTAAGTTTCTTGAAGTCTCTTTTTATCCACAAGGGGGCAGCAGATGCTTGTTATAGAGATCCAGTGCCATTGTTTGTAGAGAATTTGATCTAATCAGACTATTATCACTAAAGCAGCAGTGTTATCTTGCATTTAGGTAACAATACTTTATTTATATAACACTTTGAAGACGAGAGCATTAAAGGGCTTTCCAGAGATAAGTGAAGAAAAACATCACAATTGGAAAATAAAATCACAAAACATCAAAATGTAAATATACAGTTAAAAGATTATTTTAGTTCAGTTAAGAAATGTACTCCAGGGCTCTTATAAAATAAGCTGTTGGCTAAAAAGGTGAGTCTATAAAACTGTGTCTTAAAACAGGATTTGAAAGGCAGAAACAGAGTCTGCTCCCTGAGTGGGAGTCTGTTTCAGAGCTGAGGAGCCATCACAGCAAAAGCTTGATTAACCTTTGACCTCGACCTTGACTTTGATATGATGAGCAGGTCTCATGTGGCCGATCTAAGAGGACTTTTTGGGGCAGCAAGGCGTTAAAAAATCTGCTGGTGTATTCTAGTGCCAGGCCATGTAAAGCCTTTTAGGGAATGAGTCAGATTTAATAATGAATAAAGAAACAGGTAATCAGTGAAGTGAAGCTTAAACAGGTGTGATGTGTCAGGAAGTTTGTCTGTGGCTCGTGTACTGAAGCAGATAAAAAGTGCATTACAATAATCTAGACATAACGAAATAAAAGCAAAACGACAGATATCACTTTTGTCAGAATTGAATTGGTGGAAGTTTTGTGACATACAGCGTCTCACATTGATTCAGCAGCTTTGTAGCTTTGTTTATAACATTTGGATGGTTTTATAATTGGATATACATAATTTGATGCCATCAGAATCTTTATGAAATGAAATGTTGTGATGTCATGTGATATGACATAATGGAAGCATGTATGTGCACACATACATGCGAAGAACTTGTCAGATATCAAATTTTAGGGATAGCCCATACAGCACACAGCTGTGAGACGGCTAACACATTAGCATCGATTCAGAGGAAAATGGCTGCCATGTGAATATAGTGGCTGACTATGTCTTGTTAAAATCAACACTTTTTATAAATATAATTGTTTACAGCCAATGTAACACTTATTATTAATTATAATAAAAAAACTGTGTCTAACTGGAATAACTTTCTGCAGATAAGGCTGTTCTGAAAATGTATCACTAAAGAACTCATTACTAATACCAAATCAACAAATGAAAAACATAGTATATCAAATATGATCAAGATTGAAACTTTAAAACAGTCTGTGGGCCGAACCAGTGAGGCTTTTATACCCAGAATATTAATCTTTAATAAAATGTTTTAGAAACATTTATTTTTTTGTATTTTTGTGTAAAACAACTGGAACAAAAATAAGAATTTGCAGACCTGAAGGTGGCGACCCTCCCAATGTCTGTACGGCCTGAACCTCCCCTTTAAAGCAGAAAAAGTTTCTACAAAGGTAGAAGTTGAGGATCCTCTGAGCAGGAACCCATTTCACCTCTACTGCACGTTGAGCCTGATTAGGGATAGCAGCTTCCCCAATCACCTGATCCAACTTACCATAGGTGGTCATCAGTTGACAGCTCTGCATTTCTCTTTACTCAAGCGTCCAAGACAGACTTCAGATCTGGAGTTATGACTGCAGAGTTCATCATCCATCTTTGGCCTGCCACTTTTCTGCCACGTACACTTGTGAAGTATCCCATGGTTCATACTTGTTTTGTCCATTTAATAACAGAAAATATTCCTGTCATTCCATGACTCAGCATTTTTGACAACATTAGCAGTGATGTCTCCCCATGAAGTCTTAGGTTGGAGCCATCCAGGTAACTCATCTAAGGCATGCAGGGAGGCTGCTTTCTTTTAAGTTCTGTCCACTATATGAAGAGATAGGAGTCGGAGCTTATCTCTTGTTAACAGGCAACACTGGAGATGATCCTCACATATGCAAGGGAAAAAATTAATATACCATGAAGTCAATCTTCATTTGATCTCCGTCAATGGGAAGCTCCCATTTTGTAAAAGTATAAAGACTTGTAGAAGTATGTCGGATAAAAATGTAAAAATGAGTGTGTTGGTTGAGACATGTTCAATTATTCCTTTCATGTCATTTTTCCAGCGTGAATGGAAAATGTTTTATGTATTGTTGTTATTTCTTTGGCTTTTTGAGGTCATCACTGAAGCCTCCAAAAATAAGATATGTTGTTTATTTAAAGGAAATTAAATAAAAGCAAGAGAAAGTTTTTATTTTGGTAAAGGCTGGACTCGAGGTATCCTGCATGAAACGTTTCATCTCTGTATTAACCTTTACATCACTATGATTCCAGCCTCTGTGTCATGTATCTTATTCTCATCAGGATGTCTTATCTTAAAACAGCCTGTGCAGACTGTTTGCAGGGATTTTATCTGCTTTGTTTGATATATGTCCTCCCAGTTTGACCTTGAGTTTGTACCTCAATGACTTATTTCAAGAAACAGACTTCTATGTGCTGAAGAGCAGTCTGAACAGAGCATGTTAGAGCGAGCACACAGGCCACAAAGTTTGACAAATATTCTAGTGTATGTAAAGGCAGATGAATCGGTGCTTTGTGGTCGAGTCACAGGGGAATAGTGCCCACCCTGCTGGCTCCTCGCACCGCTTGCTGCTATGTTCTCACACATGGTAAGTGAGCCAGATGTGATACAAGTAGAGTTCATGCCACAAGAAGAGTCATATGCCAGTGACAGATACTCATGAACTGGGATGTTTGATGCATTTGTGGAAAGAAGAGACAAAGGAGCTGCAAAATCACAACTGAGGCTTCAAAATTCATTTTCTCATTAGTCAGCCTTATATGGCCTCACAGTACCCTATAAATAAAAACGGAAGCCTGCTGTGTCTTCCTGTTAAACAGCAAACCTGCAAAAAGTAAGCAAAATGTGTCATATTTGAGTGGGCTGCTCTCATAACATCCACAAGTTTACCCTCACGTCACTTCTAGTGCTCCCTGCTGTGTGTGGCCTCTGCCATGTTTCCTCCTGTGGCCAGAATCTCCTGGAGACGACAAACGGAGAGCGGATGTTTAGAGGAGCTGCCCTCTGCTGACGGACAGCAGCTGGAGCTCAGAGAGTCTGGATGTACTGCCTCCGTCTTACAGATCTATCAGACAAAGTTCAGCTATGAATACAGCTGCTACGTGCAGCATGAGGGGGGAACAGTGGAGGCTCGGATAGATACAGGTAATGAACGTTTGGTGACTTTGTGCAGCGTAGGTTCATCTTCATTTAGTGACTCAAAAGAAAGAAAAACAGAGGACTGACGTTGTTGATGATTTTATTCTTTTTCTGTTCCATCACCTGCAGCGGATCCCTCTGTCCCGTCTCCATACAAGGTGAAGCTGCTCTTGCTGCTCTACACAGTGCTGACAGTGAAGAGTCTGGTGTACTGCTGTGGACTCTTCCTGCTGACCGTCCTTAGGAACAAGAGTCCGTCCACAAACTGCACACATGCTGGATGACTATGTTTTACTCTATTTTCTATCCCACCATCATCTCATAAATGTATCTCCTTTATCACTTAGATGAATTTAACAATGTCAATCATGAATAAATATATGCAATTATGATCAAACAACATTTTGCAGCAGTGTAAAACAAATCCTATATTATATACAGTAAATGTTATTGTTTTGTATAATACTTTAGCAAATGATGCGCAATGTTTAGAGCTATTAGCGGCTAAGATGCTTTCTTAATTAATCAGGCCCTCAGTCTCTCGTAACAAGCTCTCTTTATAATTTCACACACCGCTGAGAATAAAATGTACAAGAAGATATGAATACAAGCACACACATTGACCAGGAACAAAAAGCTCACAAAGAAAAGTAAACTTGTAAAAATTCAGTGTGTTGATTTGTCTGCAGGTTCACTGTTGACCCTTTTAAACAGTGGTGTCAGTGTTTTATGTAGAGCTCTACGCTGATGATACTCTTGTTTACATGTAGAAACAAAACATGACATAGCAGCTTCATCGGTGGAGAGCTGAAACTGAATGATACACAAAACATGCTGTGTGCTTTTCTTATTTTATTTTCTCGTTTATGGAGGATTTAAAATGTTTTGTTTTGGTAGGGACTTTACATAGACTGTTATTTTTCTGCTAAATTACAATAAAATGTTTTTAACAACTCAATACAGAATCACAAATTTAGGCAGAAGTTACTAAAGATCTCATGTATTTAAAATATAGTGATTTTATATTTTAGCTAGTTCACAGTGCGCCTGTAAATTTTTTGTTTTTTTTAAAGTAAATGCAATAAAAAAATTGAAATGTATGTTGAACTGACGAGCTGAAAGAATAAAGTCGCATATAATAAACATTGTTGTGTCGTTTCTATAATTAACAACACAATGTTTTGATTTAAAATGAATCCTGAACAAAGACTTCTCTTTACCTTCTGAGCCTGACTTTATACTTTATTAGTTTTTTAGTACATGCTGCTGCGTAGACCAGTGGTTAGAACCATGTAAAGGGCTATTTCCCTCGAGGCCGGCGGCTGGGTTCGACTCCGACCTTCTTCATTTCATCGCATTTCAATCCGTTTTATTGGTTGTCAAAAAGTGACAGCAATAGCTTCCTTATTTACCAAATGCAAAACTATAATTATGACTCTATTCGTGTAGCTCTTTTCAAACAAGGAGAACAAAGAGCTTCACATGACAGCAGAAAAGTACGACGGCGTATCAGAGCCATTCTAAAACAAACAAAAAACAGAAAAGGGAACATTTCCAAAGACAAACTCAGAGTTCTTGAGATTATAAAGTAAATTCACTATAAAACTCAGAATATGTCTTTAGATTTTAAATGTGATTATAGAGTTCAGTGACTGCAGGCCTGATCCAAACAGCAGCATCATTTGCTTTTCTTATGGATGACATTAGTGCCTTCATAATCTCACACAATATACCAGTTGTGTTTCTAGTTAATGTACTTTTTAAACATAAACATTTTGAGTTTTTTCTTTTAAATTAACGGCTCATTTTACTTTTTTTTTTTTTTTAAAGAAGGCCCTCACACACAGTCGTAAAAGAAAAATTCAAATTCAGATAATCCCAAAATGTTCACACTTTTTTATACTCTTAGTATTTCACTACCTGTTTGGTGTAATCTTACAGTCATTTAAGTTTAAGTTTTAAAATATGCAAATTATGACTTTCAATTGTGGGATATTTGTATTATTAAATGTTATTAGGAAAACTACAACATTTGATCTGCTGCTGAGGTTCACTGTGAGCTTCAGTTCAGTTGAAAATACTTCATCATGAATTAAAATGTTTAACTAAGAGTAATCTCATTCAGTCGTTATTTGTATTTGTGGTCTCTCTTCTAGAAACATACATTTATACCATTTTGAATTGTATGGCTTAGTTTTAAGATTAAATCAAATTCAGCTCAATTGGAAATGAGATAAAACATTTTAAAGTTTCTACTTAAGATGTTGAAACAAACTTATAAACATGAGTCATCAGTTTGACTTTTTTTTTCATATTTAATGTATTAATTGTTCCTTTAAAAAGGTTGATATAAAATACAAAATATTTTTAGACACAATCACATGACCCTAATGTGCAAAGACAAAATGTACTTGTGTGTATTTTCTTATACATGACAATATCTCAGAACACTTCTCTGATATCACCTCTCTCTTTTAAATTACCTCTACCCCCCCCCCCCCGCAGTTATCACCTTATATGACAGCGTTTATTACAGTCCTATATTCTGTTCAGTAATAGTCATAAAATTTACTCTGACTCCCCCTAGTGTCTGCTAAACACACTGCTCCATAAATGCCAGTATTATGTGTTTTGATTTTCTGCCTTTTAATTAATACATTCATTTTTTTTAATTTAACTTTTACTAAACCATGAAAACCTTGTTAAGATCAAACATGACTTTTTCAAGGCAGGAAGCAGCACCATGTTTCTAACAAACTATGAGCAGCCAAGCATATAAACATCGTATGAGATACATAATTACATTATTATATAATACATAATAAAACACATTACATGAATACATTTATCTCAGCAACCTGGAACGACCACAGCTTTCCGTATCTCTTGTATCTTTTAAAAGCTTCTTGGGTGAGGTTGTCAGATTTTTCAATTTGGGCCTTCAATTCTTTGTCAGCTGTCTCCAGATCACAGTTGAGATTAAAGATGAAAACAGTTGGTTGTTTTTCATTAGGCCTGACCAACTCATCAACAGTGCCATTTTTTAGACGGATGAAGTGAATGTTCAAATTGCTTTCAAACCATTTTTCCCAAAACCGAAATTATTAATCTGATGTCTTCGTTTATCAGTAACGTAAATTTTCCAATGATTTGTCATCATCTCTTAACCGCTTGATGTACCTTGGTGAGAAATCAGACAATGCAATCAGAAAAGCTGACACAGAAAACACATACTTTGCAAAGGAAACCTGATTCTAAAAGGGCATGGCTACAGAAATATACAAAATATCATGTTCCTACCTCTCAGTTTCCTCTCTAATCTCGTGTTGAACCAGCCTCAGGTACTCGCTGACCGTGTAGACATGTGGTGGGTTAAACCCTCTCAGGTCTTTGTAGAATAATCCTGGTACAGGCCCTGAGTCTGACACCCACCATCCTCTCGCCTGTTTAGCAAGTGTGTCAAACAGCACAGCCAGGGACAGGGCCACCACCCCTACCCCGCCAAGAGTGACCCTGCCCTCCCTGCCAAAAGTGCTCCTCAGGCTCTGAGTGAAGTCCCCAGCTGTTTGGTATTCAGGGAGGACTGCACTGCCGTGTAGTGGTTCCTCAGGTGTAGTGAAGAGTTGATGGACATCATGTTGGTAAAAAGAGGACTGGGGGTGTAGTTTGGGAAAGGGCAGACGTTTCGAGCGACAGACGCAAGTGGGTATATGTCGTTAACAGGGCAAAGTAAGTTTCCCATCTTTGCACTAATTTGCTGGTTAAAGATTTTCTCTTTAGGAGTTGTTCTGAAAAAGTTGTAACCACACACAACACTGCTTCCTCTTCGTGTGTTTTTGAAAGTCTGCTCATGGACACCACTAATAAAGTACTGTAAAATTGTAATGTAAAAAACTGTTAGCATTATGCTAACAAATAACATGGGAAATCCCATAGAGAAACTTCTTAAGAAAATAAGTACAAAATATGAAAACAAACAGTCTTCAAGAACTCACAGTTACTTTACAAGATATGCAGGAGCTTTACAAAACTAACAAAACAACATGGGAGCTAGGTACAAGCCATGACCGACATACAGTGGCGCCCATATATGAACGTGGCAACGAGCTAAGCTAGCGCTCATTAGCATCATAGCTAAAGAACCTTAAAACCTTCAAAACACATTTAAAACAAATCCTGACACACACTTAAGGATGGCGTTAGCTTCTACATGTTATAGAAGAATATATAGACCACATGTATGTGATTTGTGACATTTACTCACCTGTTAATAACAGGGAAATAATGAGACAAAGCCATTGCTTGTTTCCTTTCCTCGCTTCTTCTAGTCTGAAGACGAGGGCTGCCGAGCACACTAAGCTGTCTCACTGGAGGTTACGCCTCCTTGTGGCACAAATTGGAACCACACTCTAAATTACATTTTACACAAAATAACAAAACTAATGCTCCCAATTACACATTTACATATTGAAATATACACAAAAATAAATCACATAATGTGAACAAACATTTCTGTGTGTCACATATGCATAACCTTGTTGTCAGTAATGCTTACACAACAGTGATAGAGGCTTTTGATCCAGTACATTTCAGTGAGATTAACAAGAAATTACTAAAAGGTACATTAAAAATTCCCATCAGACTGATAAGACATGGCTGGTTATAAACTCTATGGAAGCCCTAAGCAGACATGCATCTCCACATGTTATTACTGTTACTTCTCCATGATAACAAGAACATTTTGGTTGTTTATTCAAGATCTCAATGTTTCTTGTTATCTCAGGACAACAACCTTGTTTTTTTTTCTTTCTCCTTCTCTGGCGATCTCTGGGTGACAAATACTGTTCAGGAAGTAACTGCCATAAGTAAAGAAATAAAATAATGTTTCTGTTTCTAAAACCACTTGTCATTCAGTGGACTGACCGACAGAATTTTATTTTTTATCATTCATCCCAAACTTGGAAATTGTGGTTGTTACAGCAGGTTTCCGTAGCAAATATAATGCCAATAATATGTAACACAGCAATATGTCACAGATGTTTTAGAAGGAAGTGATTGTTAGGCCCTCTGTCCACATAGCATTTTTTCTGGGTTGAAAAGCGCTGGCTGTGCGCTCAGGAGCAATTGAATGAGCGTTTTCGGCACTGAGAGTTAAAGAGCTGCACGTCCGTCTTGTCTCTATGACAACAGTCTGTTGAAAATGGCCGCTGTTTGACCGACACTGCCTCGTTGCTTATTGCTGCATGTTTCATATTTGAGATTGTTTTTTTTCTCAATCAGACACAGAGCAAAGAGTATGCGGGTACAAGATATGATACATAGGAGGGGAATATCTTACATTTTGATAGAAAGAGAGCCGGTGACATCAACAGCCCCTATCTGAAAAAGTTGAAAGATATTCATCTCGAAGTGCTCAGAGCGGTATAGTCAGTTCAGGATGAATACAGGTAATAACATGATTTGGCCAGGTTCTAGGCATCATGCCATG